AACTTAAATAAGTTGAAACGCAGTGGCGTAATCATAAAATAGAGGTCATTTTCAGAATCTACGGTTCCGAAAACATAAAAGTAGACCTTTAAATTGGATAAATTCGAAAAACTTAAATAAGTCAAAATGCAATGGCGTAATCATGAAATGGAGGTTATTTTCAAAATCTACGGCTCAAGAAACATAAAAGTAGACCTTAATATTGGATAAATTCGAAAAACTTAAATAAGTCAAAACGCAGCTGCGTAATCATAAAATGGAGGTCATTTTCAAAATCTACAGCTCTGGAAACATAAAAATACACCCTCATATGAAAAATATCCGAAAAACTCAAATAAGTCGAAACGCGGTGGCCTAATCTTAAAATGGAGGTCATTTTCAAAATCTACAGCTCCGGAAACATAAAAATACACCCTCATATGAAAAATATCCGAAAAAACTCAAATAAGTCGAAACGCGGTGGCCTAATCTTAAAATGGAGGTCGTTTTCAAAATCTACGGCTCCAGAAACATAAAAGTAGACCTTTATATTGGATAAATTCTAAAAACTTAAATAAATCAAAACACAGTGGCGTAAACATAAAATGGATGTCATTTTCAAAATTTACTGATCGGGAAACATAAAAATACACCCTTATATCGAATAATTCAAAAAAACTTAAATAATTCGAAACTCAGTCACGTAATCTTAAAAAGGAGGTTATTTTCAAAAACTACTCATACGATAACAGACCCACACATCGAAAAATTAAAGATAATTAAATAAATAAAAAAAGGTTGAATTTGAAATGGAAAAGGTTTAATTTGAAATGGAAAAGGTTGAATTTGACATGGAAAAAGTTTAATTTGATTTGGAAAAGGTTGAATTTGACTTGGAAAAGGTTGAAATTGCTTGCAAATTCTGACCATAATACAAATTCACGATCCAACTTCTTAGAGTACCCTAGAAAAAATTTAAAATTTCTAGGACAAACTAGAGGAAGAAATTTCCGTTGTCAAAAAAAAATTCCAACAATTATTGGAGATTATAAAGCAAAGGTTGATCAAAAGAAATTGGAATATTCTGATGCTAATGGAGTTGGGACTAGGAATGAGGTGAAATGTTGATCTATTTTGCCAATAGAAATAATTTACAGATAGTAAATACACTGCTGGCCAAAATTAAAAGATCACTTCAATATTTTAATTTCCAATATGGTTTAAGTTCCAATATTTAATAGACATATTAAATGAGTTTAAGAACCACTTTGACAATATTTTAAATACGGGAAAAATGATCTGTGTCCTCCTCCTGAGTACCAGAATTATAAACCGTTAATAGAAGAACTGAATAGAGAAGAAATTGAAGTAGCTAACGGAAAATTAAAATCATATAAAGCAGCAGGAACCTATAATATTCCTATGAGGAGTTGATCGGGGAGTGCGGTCAAATAAATACTAAATTAAACAAATAGTATCATTTAATTTTTGCCGACGTTTCAACCCACTTTGCAGGTCTTCATCAGGGCGGTAATTATTTATTATGCCCTGTAATTATTTATGACACCCTGATGAAGACCTGCAAAGTGGGTCGAAACGTCGGCAAAAATTAAATAATACTATTTGTTTAATTTAGTATTTATTTGACAGCACCCCCCGATTAACTCCTTCTCATATTATATCAACGATCAACCAGTACATTACTACATCAGTAAGTATAATATTCCCAGTTTGTTTGGATCTTTCCATTTATCACATAATTCCTAGTGAACTAATTAAGGCATGCGGGGAAGCTGGAGTTTCTAAAATACATTTGTTGGTTAAAAAGATCTGGGAGAATGAGAAATACCTGAAGAATGGAAAGAATCTGTTCTTATTCTAATTCATAAAAAGGGTTCCAGGAAGGATTGTAATAACTATAGAGGAATCGCACTCCTTCCAGCGTGTTATAAAATATTCACATTAATCCTTACCAACCAAGCCACGGAATATACCAAGAAATCATTAGAGACTATCAATGCGGATTTAGACAGAACCGTTCAACTATTAAACAAATATTTTCTTTACGGCAAATATTGGAGAAAATATTAGAGTAAAATGGTATTGTTCACCAGCTGTATATCTATTTTTAAAAAATTAGTAAATTTTGTTAGGATGTGCTTAACAGAAACACTCAATAAAGTTAGAATCAGTAATTATTTATCCGAAAAGAATGAGGTTCGTTTGGGTTTAAAATAAGGTGGTTTCCCTTCACCTATCCTGTTTAATTTGGCATTAGAACATGCCATTAGGGAATAATGTACACCGAAAAAGGGTTGGATCAGGGTGGGACAACACTCGCGTTTGGCTATGCGGATGATTTCGTTCTGTTAAGCTTAGGCACTGAAACTATGAAGCTAAATACGACATCGTTATTGAAAGTTGGTAAAGAACTAGAACTCAAAATAAACACGGCTAAGATAAAATATATGGTTAGCTGCAGAAATGGCGATAATTCTGGTGATACCGATATAGAAGGTAATATGTTTGAAGAAGTAGAGAAGTTTAGGTATCTAGGGTATATGATAACTAAAAAAAAAATGAAATTGAAGAGACTAAGGTTAGGCTAAAGGTGGGAAATACTTGTTATTTTTCTGTGACTACTTAGCCCTGGAACCAGGGCCAAAAATCCACCTGTTCGCAGGGGAAGGTTTTATTGTAAATTACGAGAGTGTATGTTATTCTGAATAAAAAGAACCTAGTCTGCCATTCCAGAGCCGCTGCTTTCAAAAATGGTGGCTGATTTAAAGAATATTAGGCCAATAATTTGAGGATCGAAACGGGAAATCCATTGCGAAAAATGTTAAGTTTTTATTTTTTTAACTTATATAATGGATTTAGACATGTAAAAAACAAAATTGCTAACGCGGGTCACCAAGGGAATTCTTTTTACAGCCATAAGTCAGATTTTTTCGATATTTTTCAACTATAATTCCTAAACGATTCATCAAAGCGAAAAATTTATTCTTTAATAAATTAAAGAATGTTAAATTTTGCATCCAATGAGTACATAATCATTAAAATTTGGTTACGCGGTAAGGTATAAAACCACGGTGAATCAACGCTGATTTTTACCAAATTTGTCAAAAACTGAGACAAATTACTATAAATGGCCCTGTAACTTGGAAATGAGTTCTCTAAGAGGAAAAACCCATAGAATCAAAGTTGTAGAGCATCAAATTTTGCGTCTACTGAGTACTGACATTTTTATTGTAGGCCTATTATATATTTGGAATCGGGATTCATTATTCCTTTATAAAATTCTGTATCTTTCGGCAGATTGTTTACCAAAATCCTTTGCTGTTAAAGATGGAAAAAGAGGCTTATACTGCATGTAACAGACTCTAAACAAAACTAACTCAGTAGAACAGACACCTATACTGTTGAAATATTGAAAATCATGTTTACCTTCATTACGATTTCTAACCATCGGGAGATTACCGATTTTGTTCGCAGCAAGTGACCTACATTAAAATAAATAGTACTCAGTAGATGCAAAATTACATCTTTGATTCTATGGAATTTTCCTCTTAGGGAACTCATTTTCAAGCTACAGAGACATTTATAGTAACTTGTCTCAGTTTTTGACGAATTTGGTAAAAATCAGCGTTGGTTGACTGTGGTTTTATACCTTACCGCGTAACCAAATTTTAAAGTTTATGTAGTCGTTGGACGCAAATTTTAATGTTCTTCAATTTATTAAAGAATACATTTTTCGCTTTAATGCATTGTTTAGAAGTTATATGTGAAAAACCCAAAAAATATCGAAAAAATCTGACTTTTTTGGCTGTAAAAAGTTTTCCCTTGGTGGACCACGTTAGCAATTTTGTTTTTTACATGTCTAAACCCATATATATAAGTTAAAAAAATAAAAACTTTTCTCACATTTTTCGCAATGGATTTCCTGTTTCGATCCTCAAATTATTAGCCTAATATTCTTTAAATCAGCCGCCGTTTTTGTAAGCAGCGGCTCTGAAACGTCAGACAAGGTTCTTTTTACTCAGAATAACATACACTCTCGTAATTTACAATAAAACCTTCCCTTGCGATCAGGTCAATTTTTGGCTCTGGCTCCAGGCCTAAGTAGTTTTGTCACAGAAAAATAACAAGCATTTCCCACCTTCAGCCTAACCTTAGTCTCTTCAATTTCACTTTTTTCTAGTTATCATATACCCTAGATACCTAAACTTCTCTACTTTTTTTTAACTGTTGATAAGGTGTTTGGTGGTATACCGAATTCCTTGGCAATGTCTTGTCACTTTTTTCCATGGTGCTTTCATCGACTAGATCTCTCCATTCATTGTGAAATGAGGTTCTAGAGATATTTGAAAAACACACATAGAGAAAAAAAACATTGCTGATCCATCAGATGTTGTTGAATTATCTGACAGATGATGGAAAAGAAGGCATTTGATCTCACAGGCATCTGTAAATTTTGTATTGTAGAGTAGATCCAACCCAAACTTTGAATTATAGATGTTTTCCAGGCCTCTTTAAAACAGAAAATTTGTCTAATGAAAGTTTTTATTTTGGAATATTTGACTTATATAGGTAACAATGACAGCAATCACTATAGGAAAATGAAAGGGATTCGAAAAACATTGAGCTATTGAGGAATTAAAATTAATGAGGTATAAGTAATCAAGAATTAACTGAATTTACCACCATACATGACATTTAAAATCATGGTATTAAATGTAAGCCATTCAAAAAGTGCAAAAATATCAATATCTGATTAATACAATAGTGTCTTAGATGAAATAGAAAAATAATAATCAGCAATATTTATGAATCAATGAAGATGGGCAAAATATTAGCTACTTAACAGTTAGTGCATTAAAATCTTAATTTCAATTTTTTATAAAACAATTATTTCTCATAATTAGTATTATAAATATTATTGACAAGAGCATTTAGGAATTTTATTTATACAGAGTACAATTTTAATAAGAACAAAAGATAAAGATATAAATAAAACATACCAAAGGCTAATCCAAACACAATCACACTTATTTCTGTAGACAATAAAAAAAATCTAACAGACACCCAAAGAATTGTGTCAACATAGCTTCCAACTTCAGCAGCTGCACTTACAAACATTGAAACGAGACATCTGATTATGCTAATTATTACATTAATGACAACCTGAAAAAAAAGGAGCAATCAAATATTTCATAAATATCACAACCAAAGGAGTATAAATCTTTCTTAATGTAAAATCATAAATATAACCAAACTCAAAATCATAATAAGAGATGTAGTTTGTTGATTAATGGTTGTTGGTCATAACTGATACCCTTATGACATTGATTCATTGCCATTAATGAAAATATTAAAAAGCCAATCCAATCATGACCTCCATTTTTAGGAATAAAAAAATTACTAACATTATGTGTTATAGAGATCAGAAAGTAGGATAAACCACCAGTTTTCGGCATCTACTGCAATTATTGAAGAATATTAAATGTTGAGAATGGTGTAGAGCTGACAAAAGGTGCGCGCTCGCATATTATAGCATCTTCCACTATTTATTTAGTTTTATAGGTCAAAACAATCGCAGAACATTAGAAACCCCACAGGTTTCGTCCAGGAAGGACGTATCTTACGTTTTTTGTCAAGAAACACAGATTCTTACACAATATCATTGTAGTTCTTTCATTCTAATCTTAACATATTTGTAGAGAAAAAATTAAAGTAAAGTAATAAAGCAAAGTTTGATTTCAAACAACTAATTACTTGAATCTTCTCAGGCAGAATCAAATTTAATGCTTATTAATTACATCAAGAAAGACTTTATTAATAAAAATAGAAACTGTTCAGGAATCAACCCCTGAAACACTAAAAAAAGGAAAAAATATTTCTATATAGAATAGAAATAGTGTTAATGCCGCATACGCTCATATCTTTATTATTTTTTTCTCACCATTCACCCCTTTTAAATGTTAATAATTAAATGTTCATTTATTCTTTTTGTAAAAAATTGAGGGACAATTGTACATTATTTATACATTTAGCTTCATTTGCGATGTATTATCTCGTTTGTGTATACGCTCCAGCCCGGTAGTGATACCCAGTCTTAGGGATTAAGACACAAAAACTGCTGGGATGCGGTCTAAAGTCAGTCTGGAGCTAGCCTTTGTTGACATTAGATCCATGTAGTGGACGTCTACTCCCACCAGTCCAGACTCACTTCACCTCACCTGGCAACAGCCTAGCGCCATTTTCAAAGAACAGCTCTTCGGCGCATTGGCAGTCATCAATCGAGATCGATTCGATACTCCCTCATCAACGACTGTGCAACATCGAAAAGGAACCTCGATGAAAGCAGAATCTCCAACTTGGCTCGTTTTTTTTATTCTCTACCGTCATGAAAGACAGTAAATTACTTTTATTTTTTCCCTAGGCTAAATTAGTTTTATTCTTATGGACAATTATTTTTTCTCTATAATTTTGGAAGTTGATATTTTGTATTAAAGGTTAATTTGGTTTTATTTTTCACTGAATATTGTATTTTATGTTTGATTTTATTTCAGTACATTTTAATAATTTTTTTTTCATTTGTTTGTTTTGAATTTTGTATATATCTTTTTTCCACTATAATAAATTGTAAACGATCAAAAGGGGATTTTTATTTTCCATTTTTTTTTATTCATTGAAATATTTCTATTTTTTAATATTTTCTTGTGCATGCATTTTTTTTTTCTTCTTTTACAGGTCTCATTTTCATTATTTTTTTTCCCCGCTTTCCTACCATTTAATTTTGTTCGTATTTTCCCCACCATTGAGGAAACTCACCAGGGAAAGGTTTGTATTTTCGATTTTGAAGTACACCTAGCCCCAACAAATAGAATAGAAAATAAACTTTAATCTGGGACAACAATAATGAACAGTTACAAAAGAAAAAATACATATCTGGCCAACAACTAACTTAATAAAGATTCAAAGAATACATACAACAACTTAAACAATAGTATGTAAATGACTACAAAACAAAATAAAATATTTTCAACTATACTTAAAATTGTATTTGAAAAAAAAGAGAAAAAAAAATGGAAAAAAAAGAATTACATGTATAGAAAGAAAAAGCAAAACCTCTAGAAAAGAAAAAATATCAAAAGTACTTAAATAAAAAGTATTGACTTTTTATGTTAAAACATAAACAGCTAAAACATACATAGTATATACCTAGTAAAGATATATTAATGAAAGAGGATGAGCAACGGGATTACAATACCGCATTATCCTGGCATAAGAGATATAAAATAAGAATAAATAGATACATACAATTAGGAAAGGGGCATTAAATTAATTTTATGAGGAAACAATCGCGACAAAAAAAAAAAAAAATCTAATTAAAAGAAAATAAATTATTTATATATGTAATACAAATATGCAATGATATTGTGAACCATATACAAACACGGAGATTAAGATAGGAAAGATATATATATATATACAAATTGAGGAATGTAAAAAATGAAATACATTTAAAATATATATAATCTTGTAGAATGAAAAAAAATTGAATAAAAATGTCAAACAATCCCTTATTTTTTATGCATCACAGTTCTATGCCAAAAGTTATACTGAATCTTTCCAATTCATAAATAATAAACAAAAAATAAAATAAAATACTGGTGTATGAAAAGGAAAAGATAAAAAAGATAGAGAGAGAATCACTTTATTATCATAAATAAATAAAAAAAAAAAATCCTTGTTACATAATACATAATTAACCAAAGTCTGATTGGATTGTGAAGAGGAATTGGAATAGGAGGGTTTTGAATGTGGATAAGGATGGAGCCGGCGGATTTTAAGTGAGATGGAATTCCAAAAGGTGGTGGAGCGGACAATAAAGGAATGTGGAAAGGAAGCAAATCTATGGAAAGGGTTGTAAAGGTCAGAAGGACGAGATCTTGTGGAGCGGGAGTAGATAGATGATTTAAATTAGAGGAGATTGTATACACAGGATGGAAGATGATTGTTGATTATTTGGTAAAGGAATGTGCCAAGGAAGTATTGTCTTCTGAAGGAGGGGAAGAGCCACCCTAACTCGATATAGTAGTGGGAAACACGGGAACGTCTCGGGGTCCCTTCGACAAATCTAACTAAGCTATTCATAATTCACAACATATATAATTATGGACCTCACCACCATTTTATTGACCTCCATTTTGAGTTCAATCATTCCGACACAGTTAAGCCTCGGCAGCAGCAGCAGCAGTAAAGTCTGCACACTCATTTATTTTTTTTTTACCAGACATTATTAAAGAAACATAATTTTCTAAATGCAAGTGAAACAGCTTGGTGGAGGAAGTACGGGGAAGAAGAGGAGGCCAAGAAATCAAGATAATTTTAAAACACCCAGTGAGTCCACATTCAGCATAATACAATTTTTCGTCTGAAGCAAAATGACTTCACTTTCATTACCATGGCAAACTACAACATAGTAATTTTTGTATACCTTAATTTCTAAAATTATCAAAATTATATCAAGTGCACAAATTCTATTTTTAGTTTGTATTCATTATCTTCAACATAATCATTTGTTGTTCCACAAATATTTAATTTCAATATTTGTATAGTATAGTAATATACTATACCCCATACAGTCTACACCATTTAAAACATGAACCCACCTAAAATCACACACTTAGAGATTGATGGGTAATATTTGGCTCACACCAAATCACCGTGACAATACAGAAACATAGTTATTGATCAGATATTAAAATTAATAACGCAAAAATAAATCATAATTCTCTAGAACTGTAGCAGCAATTTTTTTTTAAACACTTGTATATGTAACTACAATGCAACTGTATAGTTTGGACCTGTACCTGATAAGTGGCCTCAGTTTAAAAATTCCAAATGGTTCCACTGGGCCTAATAAGCAGGCTTCTGTGGAACAATTCCTAATAATCCTACAATCAGACTTGCTTCTATTAATAGTTCCAGAAGATTCATTCGATCCCTAATTATAAGACAACACTTAAATTATTTTTAAACACTTATGACTAAACTAAACTTGATTTTTTTTGTCAACCATGAGGATATTTAATCATATTTACAGTAATATACTATAAATTTGTTGTGGCTGCACAAATATAGCAAGTAAACATACTTAATTAAATATCTGCGGGCTAAAAATAGTATTTACCCATGGAATAACAGCCATTATCATTTTATTTTGCTAGTAACAGCAGAAAAAGGACTTTGACTAAAAAAACCCAACTAATTATTCAGTACAAACAAAGGAGTTTAATGAATTTCCTCAAAAGGTTAGGCGACTTTAAAAATGATTTACATTACATTTTAGAGAATCATATTTTTCTCTGCTGTTTTATTCTTTTGGCACATTATACAAATTTATATGGTGATACGGTGTTTGCATTGAAATTTGAGCTGCATGAGAATTTAAGTGATAAAGAACACATATGTAGATAAAATTGAGATTACATTTTTAACTAATAAAAAAGGTAGAAATAACAGTGTGTTGGAAAGGTATGGCAGGGACTGGTGGAGAGGGGATAGTGGACCATACTGTGAAGTATACTTCTGCCAAACATGATATAGTCCAACCTCTTTCTCTTAGCTCTACTTTCTAAACATTTTGCATTGTTTTCTCTTCTATTTTTGACTTTTGAACGCTATTTTTTGTAATTATTTCCCACATAAGCTGTTATTTAAAAAAGAAATATACTTTTTATAATTTTTAAGAAACTATTTTATACTTCAAGACAAAAAAATCTTGGTTAAAAAATTTGAATATGTACAATATAGAGTTGGACCTCTGTATAACAATTATTTTTAGAAACCTTCAAAGTTTATTGGAAAAAAATATTCTATACATCAAACAAGAAGAAGTCATATTTAAAAAAATATATATATAAAACATAATTTTCATCTATAAGTTCTTTAATACTTTAACAACAGCAGGTGTATACGCCCGCTCATTGATTTAACTAAGGGACCACCATTGAGATCCACAAACAACCTTGTTTCAGGAATTGATGCTCAGTCAAAACATCAAATTACCTGTGAAGAATGACAGCTAAGCTATGGTTCCTGTAAAAATATTTGTCACTTTGAGTTGGACTTAATTTTTATTATAATCATAAGAGTGCCTGGAATTTACTTTCATATTGTGTATCATCTTTTTTAAATGACCTATTTCTATCGGTTTTGAATAAGTAAAAGGGAAAGTACAGCGGCACTTTATAGTACAGTATACCTGCAAAGGTAAAGACACATTTTCACTTAATATGAACCTAAATTAGCAATAGTTGTAAACCATGTCTAAATATACATTTTTTTTTTTTTTAAGAGAAGAATGGTTGGGGTGATCAGTAAAAAAAAAAAAAAAAATTATAAGTAAGTAAGTATATTCATTTTTTCTTGGCCTTGATGAAGGCCTGAACCTTGGGCCGAAACTTCACCAAAAGTAAAAATAAATATACTTATTTATTTTTTTTTACTGATCACCCAAACTCTCCTCTTCAATTATTCACTATAGTCAACCATGAATCCACATTTTTTTTTTGCAATGATGCGTCTCTTTTTTGTTTAAATTTCCCAAAATAATTGAAATAAGATTATATAAACGTAAGAAACAACAAGAAAGGATAAAAATAAGGAACTAAAAATTAAATTAAAATCCTGTAATATCACTTCGGAGGTTTTTTTTTCAATTATCACAATTAAATAACTTTTAAAACTTAAAAAATGCATGATACTTTTTTAAAGAGTACATTACAACTTTTGAGAGAAAAAAACAATTTGGTCCACGGAAAAAGATTCACCCGAATGGCTTGGTCGTTGAAGTGTTAAAAGTTCATAAAAATAGATACTGGTACTGCTACTGGTGGGGAGAACTAGTCTGGCAAGTGGGTCCTATCTTGGTCCTTTTTGCGGACTCCTGACGATTACCTTGAGGTTGCCACTGCGTAATTACAGTGGGAATGTCACGATCCATTTCCCAGGGCCGCCAAGAAATGAAGTAACTGACCCAGGTGGGAATTGAACCCACCACGTTCAGAACTGTGCACTCTGGGACCCATGCTCCTACGTGCTCAGACATCCTCTCATAACAATAGTTAATAATCAAGTGAAAGTAAAAATAAGTTGTTTCACTGTAATTTTGTCACAAAACAAAAGAAAATTCAGGCAAGACCTTGTTTTAGAAACATTTTTGGCACTAATAGGAATGACATTCTCTGAATCCCTTTTATAACAAAGAATGTAGATCCATTTTAAATTCAGTTTATTTAAATGTCTGAAAGTTTAAGAGAAGATTGGAAATGACTTAATGCTTAAAGTTTGATAAAACAGACAAATCAATAATGAAATTCAATGCATGTAATATTCTGAAAAATTGCCAATAATACTTCTTTAACCCTGAAAATAATTATATTTGTTTTTAGTATGAAAAGGATAAAAAACAGTGAGTGATCTTTATATGCATCAAAATCTTTGTGTATTTAATTATTATTTCAAGAAACATTTGTATTCGTGATATAAAGGTTCGACTACACTTCAGAACTAACCAATATTTTTATAAGCTAAAAAGAATCTAATCATCTTATAAAGATAGTAACTAGCGATATTTTCAGTCCAATTTTTTAATTTGAATTTATGCAAAACAATAAATTTCTAATAAAAAAATATCTAATGGGATTTAGACTTTAGTTTTTATAACTTAGTAATAATTTTGTTTTATTTCATACAATTAGATTCAATGGAAATATGACTGATTTCAGAAAATATACTAATATTTTCATTTAGTTCAATATAATTGAAAAAAAACCTTACCTTTATTCGCAGAAGGACCCGTATTAGTACCACAATAAACTATAAAGTAATTGGTTTAAGGAGATAGCTATAGCACTGGAAGTTTTTCGAACATAACTGAAATTGCTCAAAGGAATAAATATTCTTAAATTTTTTATCTGAATATAGATATTCAATTCCAATTGAAAAAATATAAACTTGCATACAATTATCTAAGCTTACATAATCCACACTGGCGGAGGCCCAGTCTCGCTAACGGGATATCGCGCCACATATGTATGTATGTATGTACATAATCCATCAGTAAATGAAAATAAAATCTACTGTTAATGTGTTGGTAGCTAAATTCACCTTTTTTCTACTTTTGGCAATTCTCACTCTATTGAATATTCTCATCCCAATACATCATGGTGCATTCTTTATCACTTGAATTTGATTGCAGCTCAAGTTTTCATGTTTTTTTTTTCCATGCAATTACTCCATAAAGGATATTAAATTGAAATTTTATACAAATAAATTTAATTATTTAAACTGGTAATACTTACAAGGACGTAAAAAGCCATAAAAATTGGACTTGATGTAGCTCTCAATTTTAGACGAGCTCTATTAAATCTTAATAAAATAAAGATTAGAAATAAGGCGTTAGGAACAAGCATCACTAAGTCCCAAACTTGAATTCTGAAAAAAATAATTAATAAATAAAAGGAAATAGATTATAGTAAAAAGAAAATGCAATGCAAGGTGAACAAATTAAATTATTACAATTAACAAAAGAAATCAAATCTAAATATTAATATAAAAATTCTCTAGAAGAGAATTCAAAGAAGAGGGAGAAAAAATGTATAAACAAAAGTGCGGTATTCATCAATGAGAACAGAATAACCAGAGAAATTTTTAAAAATTTCTGAAATATATACATTGATCATGACATATATAATCTTAATAATCAGTAATTATATAGACATTAATCAAAATTTTAAAAATGGAAGCTATAAGCAAGGAATTAATGAGTTACTAGATGTGTATTTGTCAAAAACTAATGTGCTATACATTTATAGCGACTATAACCATTGCATTAATTTTTAACAAGTAGGCCCATGAGAATAATTAGCGCATTATATCGGTGAGTGAACAAATAGTGATATAATGTGGAAATAAACAAATGAGAGGAAGAAATTAATTTGTTCAATATCCCTGTTGAACAAATCCGATACCTTGGACTTCAGTTGGACAAACGTCTAACTTGGAATCCTCATACCAGACTGAAACGACAAGAAACCGCTTAACGTTTCCGACTACTCCAACACTTACTAGACAAACGCTCTAAGCTTCCAGTTAATTACAAAAGACTTATATACATGACTATAATAAGACCTATTTGGACTTACGGAGTTGAGCTTTGGGGCTCCACTAAGCCATCAAATTCTTCTCGTATCCAATCCTTACAATCCAAAATCCTTTGGAAAATCCTCAATGCTCCTTACTTTGTCACCAATAAAATAATCCATAATGACCTTAATGTTCCTTATGTTTCCGATTTGGCCCAATCCAGATATCAATCCTTCCATAATAAACTTCAGAATTATCCGAATCCTCTCGTCTCTAACCTTGCTTCCTCTTCTATTCCTGATAACCCTCCGAGGCGTCTGAAAAGAAGATGGCCTCGAGATCTCTTATTGTAAATACATTTTGTTTTTAGAGTGCTACCAGTGGGTAGTTTCTCAACAAGTCATTTCATGTTATTATTTTCTGTTATCAAATTTACTTAATGTATTTAATTTTTTAATACAGTTGTAAATATCATGAATAAATAAAAAAAAATAAACATATATACACTTTTTCTTCACTTAGTTTTCTTTAGTATAAACGATTTTCTGTATTTTCTATTCGTTTTGATTTCTCGCTGCCAAACACTGACTGTTTCCCTCCAAATCCTTTTTATGTCTAGTTCCCTAATCACATGTCAAGTTAACTCTCAATCCCTTCCTGCCCACTATGACGAATTCCTGCAATACTTTATTTAAAACTTTTATCATATTATAGCAACATCTGAAACCTGGCTCAAACCTTACATTCCATCATCTTTAGTCTCATGCCTAATTATATCCTGCTCCGTCATGAACGAGTAACCCGGACTGGCAGTGGAGTAGCCATGTTTGTCCACAATAGCCTGAAGACCCGAATCCTTGATTGCTCCCCACCTTCAAATCACCCTCAAGTAGAAATTCTCTTTAATACCTTTCCTATCCTTTACGCTGTGGTATATCGTCCTCCTCTCGTGTCATTTGATCCGTCCTTCAAATCAACCTTATTCAACTTCGTTCCCCTCTATCCCAGAATAATCATCTCCGGTGACCTCAATAACAATTTCCTCTCAAACTCCAATGACAAATCCTATCTAGAAAATTTATTTTTCTCACTTCACCTATTCATTGTTCCTTTTTCCTCCACCCACCATACCAGCAGATCTGACACTTGGCTATACTTCTACATTATCGACTCTGCACATAACCTCCTCTCCGCTTCTCAATTGCCAGTATCCTTTTTATCTTCTCACAATCTGATACAAATAACGTATAATATCCCACTATCACTTTCCGCCATCTAGATACCCTTACTCAAGAAAAAATATTACCTGACCTGGTAACATTGGATTTGAATGGAATATATTATTGCTCCTCTGTCGACACCATGGTTGATATTCTCACTGCTAATCTTTTCAATGTCGTCAGTACCCACACTCCTCTCAAAACCTTCTATCTTTCGTCATCGTTCTGCTCCTTGGATGCATCAGGAAATTAAGGATCTGCAGAAGAGATGCGATGCTGCCCACAGATGCTTTAGACGGACTAGGCTTGCAGATGATTATCAAAAATTCAGAGTGCTTTGTAACACAAAATTTAATTATAAAGTTATTATCATTTTATGACAATAAATTTTATTTTTCCGAAATTTCCCCCACAGAACTTATTACCACTATAATGAAATCCCGCATCAATTCTGTGGACCCAGATGGCATTCCTATCAAACTAATAAAATTATGACTTCCTGAAATCCTTCCAGCGCTCCTTTTTATCTACAATTTCTCCCTGCAGAATTCAATATTCCCGACCTCTTGGAAAAAAGCCATTGTCCTTCCTTTAAACAAAAAGCCTAATCCATCCTCTCTCGAAGATTTCCACCCAATATCAATCCTTTCCAATCTTTCAAAACTCCTAGAAAGGTTAGTGCAATCCCTAGTTTCCAACTTCCTTGAAAAATCCAATCAACTCGATCCTCTCCAATCTGGCTTCCGTCCAGGCTACTCTACACAATCTGCTCTGATTAAAATTACCAGTGATATTCAGACTGCAATAGATGACAAAAAACTAACTATACTTATACTTCTTGATTTCTCCAAAGCCTTTGACTCCATTATCCGTTCCATCCTTTTCAACAAACTAAAATCATTATCCTTCTCCAATAGTTCCATCTCTTGGTTCCAGTTCTGGAGTTGCCCAGGGTTCAAGCATGTCTTCTTTTCTTTTCAGCTCCTATATTAATGACCTAAGTGATTCAATCATCCATTGCTCCCACCACCTTTATGCCGACAATTCTCAAATCTATCTATCTTTTTCTTCCGCTGAGTTTTTGGTAGCATTTGCCAAAATTCAAGAAGATTTAGATCGAATTAGTGCCTGGGCCAACTTAAACGGATTAAGGCAAAATGTAGCTCTACTCAGGCCATTTTCATTGGTTTCCAACCCTTCTTAGATCCCTCACCAACTTTCCTTCACACTAAATAAATAACCACCCCATCACCTTTTATCCCTTTGTTAAAAATTTAGGCTTTTTCATAGATCAAACCCTCTCCTGGAATCACGATATCTCTTATATCTCCCGCCGTGCACTTTCTACCCTCAAACTATTCCATCACTTCCGCCATCTTCTACCCCAAAATACCAGTAGACTCCTAGTTTCCTCTCTGATCTTTCCCCACTTCGACTAAATCTGTGTGGTGTACGATGGCCTCTTGGTGGAGCTCTGTGATAGACTGAAAAGACTTATGAATAGCTTCGTAAGATTTGTAATTGCAACCCCGAGATGCTCTCATATCTCCCACCACTACACTGAGTTAGGGTGGCTCTTCCCCTCCTTAAGAAGACAATATTTCCTAAGCACATTCCTTTATCAAATCATTAACGATCATCGTCCTTCTTATACCTCCAATTTAAGCCCTCAATCCATTTCCTCACCACAAGATCTCGACCTTCTGACCTATACATCCCTTCTCATAGATCTGCCTCATTCCAAAACTCCTTTGTAGCCCACTCTGTCAACTTCTAGAATTCCCTCCTGATCAAAATTTGGTATGCCCCCTCCATATCCACATTCAAAAACCTATTCCAATTCCTGTTCCAAAAACAGTCAGATACCAGCTAACTATTAATATTATATATGTATTGCGCTAAAACTTATGGTATAAGTAGATTCTGCATTAAATTTATAACCCCTCTGAGGCGTCTGAAAAGAAGATGGCCTCGAGATCTCATTTTGTAAATACATTTTTAGAGTGCTACCAGTGGGTAGTTTCATGTTATTATATTCATTTGTTCACATTTGCTGAATGTATTTTTATTTTTAACACAGTTGTAAATATCACCAAAAAAAAAAATTATAACACATGAATAAATTTTGAAAGCTCTTGGTCAACACATATTGGTTTTACAAAGGAAAACATAAGGTATATGCTAGTTTTGAGCTCAGAATAGGGGTATTTATGCAACCAGTGCTAAGTATTTCAAACCTCTTAAATGTGTAAAGCCGAGAAAATTAATTAAAAAATGTGTGTCAAATATGGCTGCTAGCACTCTCAATTTTAACGCAGCCTAGGGTCCTGTAAAGTGTTGCTATCTTCTTAAACACTGGAGAAGGTAATTGAAAAGTTTTGGTGTGTTTGATTCTTTGTTCTTTGTTTGTGTACAATATCCACATAAATGGAATGTAATGACTGCTAAGATTTCATCTATGTATTCATCAAATTTTTCACCATCTGAATCTTCATTCATGCTTTCTAATAAAGCATTTTTAACCAAATAATCCAGCAACTAAGTCTTTGGTTTTTTATAAATAAATCAAAACATTAGTAGATCAATTAAGAACCCACAAAATTTGGTTACAGTAAAGGCAACCTTACTATAATTAATAACACTTTAGCACAGAAAAGTTATTTTCCATTCATTCAAAATTTATGCTGACAGCTTAGAATAATATCACATTAAGCATTTACAACAAGTGCATGAATACCCCTAATGTCTTTCCAACTTCAAATATTTCAAAAGTTTAAATGTCCACAATTCTGAAACTAATTGTTAGAATTGGATAAAATTTGGTATTTTTAATTAATTGTATATTTACTTAATAATTACAAATTTTCATTAAGATCTGATTGGAGTGGACTACGAATTGAATCTTTTCTGGACTATTTGGCATGGAATGACATTATACAAAGATAGGTACTGCAATAGTACTGTACTGATTCCTTTGAAAACCTGTTCACTTTTAATAAAGATTTAAAATAATTTAAAATTAAATTTCCAAAATAATTTAAAATAAGTGCTAAACCGTTAATAGAAGAATAGATTAAAGAGGAACTTGAAATATCTATTGGAATATTAAAATTTTATAAAGCAACAGGAACTGATAATTTTCCTAGTGAACGGATTAAGGCATGAGGGGAAGCTGGAGTTTCTAAAATACATTTGTTGGTTAAAAATATTTGGGAGAATGAGAAATTACCTGAAGAATTTATTCTTATTCCGATTCACAAAAAGGGTCCCAGGACAGATTGTAATAACTATTGAGGAATTTCACTCCTTCCGGTACATTATAAAATATTCACTTTAATCTTAAGTATTTGAATCATGGAATACGCTGAGGAAATTATAGGAGACTACCATTGCGGATTTAGACGGAACCGTTTGACTATTGATCAAATATTTTCTTCAGAGCAGATATTGGAGAAAAAACTAGAGTACAGCAGTGTTGTTCACCAGCTGTATATCAATTTCAAAAAGGCTTACGATTCTATTGACCACCAGAAACTGTATAATATTCTAATAAAGCCAGGGATCCCAAAAAAATTAATAAATCTAGTCAGGATGTGCTTAACTGAAACACTCAATAAACTTAGAATAGGTAATAATTTATCCAAAAGTTTTGGGTTCGTTCGGGTTTAAAACAAGGTGATTCCCTTTCGCCTGCCCTGTTAAATTTGGCATTAGAACATCAGGGAGGTAATGCATACCGAAAAAGGATTGGATATGGGTGGGACAATACCTGTGCTTGGCTATGATCTGGTCCTGTTAAGCGAAGACACGGAAACTATCAAACTAAATACAACAACGTAAATGAGAGCCGGTAAAGAACTAGGGTTTGAAATAAACACAGATAAAAAAATATATGGTTAGTAGCAAAAATGGTGATATCGAAATATAAGATAATATGACTGAACACGTAGATAAGTTTAGATATATAGGATTTACGATAACTAGAAAAAACAAAATGGAAGAGGAGATTAACGTAAGGCTGAAGGCGGGAAAAGCTTGCTATTTTTCTGTGACGAAACTACTTAGCTTGCGCCTTCTTTCCAGGAACTTAAAAATTAGAATCTACATAAAACCATTATTCTACCTAGGGTTCTTTATGGGTGCGAAATGTGGCCGCTTACATTAAGGGATGAGCAACA